TCATTGGATCTGATTACAATCCTCATCGATGAACAATTGAGGACCCGAGAACTTCACTCCGCGTTGGTACAAAGGCTATTCTGTCAAAACTCCAAATCAGTGATAGACCAACACAAATGAGAGAAAGGACAGAGAATTTAGAACATACCTCCATCAGGACTCGCATGCAGCAGCGCCGCCGTCGATGGGAAGAGAACCCAAAACTAAAATCGACAACCCGACCTTTGGCTGAGATTACAATATATGATTATGAGAAGGAGAAGGAACGAAGTGACGATTGTGGGAAGGGTTTGGTTCCACTCCGGCGGGTTGACGAACAAGCAAGGTGAAAGAACGAAATGAAGAGAAGGAAGTCAGAAAGGTAAAGTTGGGTTGGCAATATTTTTATTTTTTTCATAGGGTGGAAAACTAAAATCGTTGAGAGAGGGAAATTTTACGGAAAAATTAAAAAAGAGGCTCCAAATGTTCCCTCTGGCACTTTTCAAATTTGTTTTTTCCTTTTTCATACGATTAGAAATTAAAATGGGAAAGGAGAGAATGAAACTATTACAAAATGGCTCTAAGATTCACGCTAATTAGTCATTACTAAGGGGTCGTTTGCCGGTTACTTTTGGCTATTGAAGTCAAGTGAAAAGTAAACAGAAATTAATAAACCGGAAAATTGGCAAGTTGATGGTGTATTAATCATGTCACTCCAAAGAAACATGGTCCATTTTAATGAGCCAAGCAGAACTCATTCTCGGCTCTTTTATGAACGAGCTAATACGATCCGAACACGACACAACTCATTATTGAGTTTGGGCTCATAATTTCGATCAAAATTCTGCTCGAGCTAGCAAACAACTCATTTCATCCTAATTAGTCATTACTAAGGGGTCGTTTGCTTGGTGGAGTTGGATAACAACAAGGAAGTACACTCTAGAGGTAAAAAGGCAACCATGATTTTGATTTAGGGTTTAGGGTTCCGAGTGTTAGGGTTTAGAGTCAGGGTCCGAGGGTTCAGAGGGTTTAGGTGGTCAACATCAGGTCCTAGGTGTCTAGGTCCGAGGGGTTAGGGGTTTAGGGTTTAGGGGTTTTAGGGTAAGGGTCTAGGGTGCCTAGGGTTTAGGGTTTAGGGTCTAGGGTTTAGGGTTTAGGGTTTAGGGTTTAGGGTTCATGGTTTAGGGTTTAGGGTTTAGGGTTTTAGGGTTTAGGGTTTAGGGTTTAGGGTTCAGGGTTTTGTTGGTTAAGTGGCAAGCAAATTGTTTGCGTGATTCATATTAATAAGCGTACACAATTGAACAAAGAATTTTGATTGTAGTCCAGCGGATGGACGTTTGCAATGCCAATTTATGTCTTGGGTTCGACACCCATCAGAAACATTTCAGTTTTGGTTTTAAGTTATTACTATTGGGAATAAGCCCGCGCTTCGATGCAGGATGATTCATATTAATAAGCTTACACAATTGAACAAAGAAGTTGATTGCAGTCCTAGCGGATGGCAGTTTGGAAGCCTAATTTTTGGCTTGGGTTCGAAAACCCATCAGCAGCATTTCATTTTTGGTTTTAAGTTATTCCCCTTGCATACTTATTTCATTAAGGACATTCTGCATATCAATATTGTCTAACACTGAATATAGGTACTTCCCTCAAAAAAAAAAACACTGAATATAGGTACATATGCAAAAGTATTTCCCAAAATGTGCCCTAAGCATTCACAATAGATTCACAGTTTGACTGAACTACCTAATTAAGCCAGGTGGTAGTTTGTTAAATGACAAAAGGCTAGACCAAAAGTGTTGTCAATTATGTCAGGGCTTAGGTAGAAACAGCAAAAGGCGGTCAATCAGTAGCAGTTTTCCTGATTCAAAATGTAGCTGGTCGAAGTTGATGTTCAATCGTCGAAAGCACAAGGATCCCAAAGTGTGGCAACCCTGATGTGCGGCACGGTGCTCTGACCTGGGCTTTGGCCATGCAATGTACAGTTCTGCTGCGAAGGTCTTTTTGCAGTTTTTCTTGATGATGTCTTTTATTTCATCTTCGTTCAGTTTGAGATACTTTGCCGGCATCATGCAGAGTATTGACAGAGCTGCCTCGTGGTTCAGTACAACATCGCCGCGGATCATTCAGATTTGCACCTTGCCTCGATGTGGTAATGTAGTCTGGTCATAATAGAAGCTTGTTAGGTTTGTTGAGAATATGCAAGCGTTCCTTGCCAAAAGTGCAAAACCGGTCAATTTAAATATTTAATCTCACCTTGGCGTTTCCCGAGTGGTTCTGCAAGCATCTATTTGGCATAGGACATGAGTGAACTTGATTATGGTTCGGTAGAGGGTCTGAAATATAAAAATTGTTTTTGCCAGGTTAGAGTGCACGGCAATAACAAGTGAAAACATATTTGAATGTTGGGATTTTTCAAAGCATCATAATATACCTCACGATTTTGTGGTATTGAACTCAAGTCTTCTTTTATCTGAGCAAGTGTTCTTTTTGGGGGGCTGAGGGTAGCGTAAGTATCCCATCCTTTCAGCTGTTCCATAGAATTATGTACTTGATCGGTTTGCGGCATGGCAGAAACCTGAGTTTTGCAAATAGATGTCTATGTTAGGCTAAGTTGTTGCAATGAAAGCATATTTGAGTGAACAAATTGTGTTAGAGATTGTTAGGAAATCAATACCTGTTCATGACTCTTTCAGTGGTCTCATTGTATGAAACTGATAATCAGACGACTGGCTTGTGTCGATTCCAGCTCATATATACCATCATCGTTGCATGCATCGGGCACGGAGACTACCGATGTAACTGTGGTTATCAGCGGGAGGTGCGACTCTACATCTGCTGCTTGTTGGAGGTAACCAGCGACATCGTAGCCACATTACTTCACAACAGCCTTGTTCCCACTGTTTTGCAAATGCAAACAAAATATAAATTATTCGCTGTCGAAAGTTTTAACGAGCTAAGGTACATAGTTTAGTATACCTGTAGTCTTCAATAACCAGATGGAAATCAAGCATGCCATCTGGAGGGCAGTTGGTACTGTGATTCGCCGTACGCAGCCTGTGACATCTGTAATTGCATAGATGTTATGGGATTTTAGTGTGCGTTGGTCGTGAAAGTGATGTACATTGCTTTACCTGCGTGGCAGTGGAAACTTTCAAACTTTGCAGGGACCATTGAGAAATGAGAGTTCATGAATGAGTCGAGGGGAAACTTAGGATTGTTCTGGTCTTCTTCGATGTTGTCAATCAGTTGCTCAGAGTTCATGAGCAGCCGCAGTTCTCCTGGGACAATGCGTTTGTTCTTACTCGAGGGGATTGTAACGATAATGCTTAGGCGATACAGACGACCAACTTTGATCCTCGCCATCACGTCATCAATGTCCTTTTCATATGCCAGAGCTTCAATAACTCGTTTCTGCGGGATTAGCAGGTGTAAAAGAATGTTTAGATAAGCATAAGCAGCTGGTGTTTTTTTTGCTGGGAAATCGTAAACAAACCTTTTTGTCCATCCAGAGCATGCGCAATGCTGGCGTTTTCCAAACCTCTCCGTTAATGACTTCTGTCCACGTCTTTAGAAGCCGAGCTATCACAGTACGGTTGTTGGTTCCCAACCGCAAACCTCGAAACGTCATCGAAGCACAAATGGGGTCTACAATAGAGACAAGAAACACACTAAGTGGAGTCACCAGTAAGGTTTGCGAATCAATCGAATCCAGTACCAATTTAGACCTACAGAAACCAAAACATCGAACCTTGGGGATCGGTGGGGTCCTCGTAATCCAGCGAGGCGACTGGGTTGTCTCGGCGGAAAACTACCATAGTTCGTTGGTCCGCTGCGATCGTAGTAATCTTTATTAGAGGAATATGATGTTTTCTACTGAGTGGCGTGCTTAGGACCAGATAGTGACATACCTTGGCGCTAGGGTTTTCACCGTGGTCGAAAGGGGGCAGTTTTTACCGCCGATGCCAGCGAAGATCTGGAACGAGGTCTGTGTTGTCGAGGGAGGCAAGATCAGGGCTTAAGTAAATTGAATGCGGCCTAAAAAAGACAGGCCGGAAGGCTGATTTGGGCCTTCTGGCCCAATGGTTGCTGCTTTTGGCCACAAATGTACATACTTGTTATTCAAAGGTTTCATCTTCGGTTTAAACCAACAGGCAATCTCCAAATACGACTGCCTATACGATACATCCAAATACACAATCCAATGACAAAAATTTCAGGTTGGCTAATTTCTTTGGAGTGACATGATAATACACCATCTACTTGTCAATTTTCCGGTTTATTAATTTCTGTTTACTTTTCAATTGACATCGATTGCCAAAAGTAACCGGCAAACCTTCACGTACCTACTAATGTACTACGCGAAGGACATACTTACAAGCAAAAACCATAAACCCTAGACCCTAAAAACCTAAAACCCTAAACCCTTAACCATGACTCCTGAACCCTGAAACCCTAAACCCTAAACCCTAAACCCTAAACCCTACCCCTAGACCCTGAACCCTAAACCCTAAACCCTAAACCCTAAACCCTAAACCCTAGACCCTGAACCCTAAACCCTAAACCCTAACCCCTGGACCCTAGACCCTAGACCCTGAATGTTGAACCCTAAACCCTCTGAACCCTGGACCCTGAACTCTAAACCCTAAACTCTGAACCCTAAACCCTAATAAAATCATGTTTGCCTTTTTACCTCTAGAGTGTACTTCTTGTTGTTATCCAACTCCACCAAGCAAACGACCCCTTAGTAATGACTAATTAGAATGAAATGAGTTGTTTGCTAGCTCGAGCCAGAATTTTGTTCGAAATTATGAGCCCAAACTCAATAAATGAGTTGTGTCGTGTTCGGATCGTATTAGCTCGTTCATAAAAGAGCCGAGAATGAGTTCGGCTTGGCTCATTAAAATGGACCATGTTTCTTTGGAGTGACATGATAATACACAACCTACTAATAAAAGAAAATAATAGTACTACTATTATTGAAGCCAACGCCGACCTACACAAACAAGCAACCCTAATGACCGCCGCCTCCCGAGAAGAAGGTCCAGTTCAAGTTCGAAGACGAAGTGGAGGCCTTCTACAGCGACGGCTGGTGGGAAGGGGCTATTATTGCGGAGCACTCCGGCGGGAAATTCGCGGTGTTCCTCAGAGGCTTTGACGAGCAGATTGTGTTGGAAGAGAAAGATTTGAGGTTGCCTGTTCAGTGGGTTCAAGGGAAGTGGGAGCCGCGATTCGAACAGGTTCAGCGGGAGAAAGAGGTGAGCTAATTCGATTTTATGACTTTTCCTGCTCCGTTGCTTGGTATAACAATTTTAGGGAATTTTGAATCTCGATCTAGTTAGGTTGAGGAAAGTAGAGAATGTTGGGTATTAGCGGAATTTTTGGCTCTTGTTGCTTACAAACACAGAGATACAGAGACTTCTTTCTTTCTTTTATGTCTCTTCCCCATTGCACTATGACACACCCCATGCATACATATATAAACTCAGAGATGGCATTTGTTCTTTTTCACAATGTCTGAACCTCGTTGAATCGCTTCATAAACATGCAGATGTGGCTAAACTCAAACTTTTCCAAGGAAGTGATGAAGTTCACTCAAGGAATGCAAGTCGAGGTGCTAACTGACGAAGACGGTTTGAAAGGTGCTTGGTTTGCTGCAACAATTATTGAACCTTCGGGCGAAGACAAGTACCTTATTGAGTACTTGTCCCTGAGGAATGATGATGATACTGAGTTTCTCAGAGAAGTCATTCGTGCTTGCAACATAAGGCCTTGTCCGCCGGAGATCATTGTTGTGGATGGATTCAAGGTGTGGGATGCAGTAGATGCTTACTACAACGAGGGCTGGTGGGTTGGCGTGATTGCAAAGGTCTTGATCAACTCCAATTACGAGGTTAACTTTATAGAGTATGATAAGACAACGTTCAATCAGGCTGATTTGAGGCCACATCAGGACTGGCTAAACGGCAAATGGGTTGTTCCTTAAGATGTCTGAATTTTATGCTCTCAATTCTAAAAACACTACTAGCATTTGTTCTTGCATGTGGTCTTTCTCTTTCGGTGTTGTCTGTTACCGTTGTGCATCTGATGGTGGGTGTCGGTGGTGGGGTTTGGTGGTGTTTTTTTTTCCTTGCTTCTTTTTTTTTTTGGGTCTGTTGTTTTTGGTGGCTCCAGGTTCTCTTAGACTAGCCTACAATCCTTCCTGGATTTCGGTCCAAACTCTCTATCACATTCCTATTTTGTAATGAAATCTGTCCGCCACAACTACTTATTTTATTCTTCTTTGCTCAACTCACAATTGCAATCATGTGGACCTTAAATTTGGAGGCTGATTTGGGCTATAATAAGGATTAAGCCCAACGAAGCAAATTAATGGATAATCTCCAACTTAATGCTAACAAATTAATGACTAATCTTCCAAAAAAATTTGATAGACCCCGTATTAAACCGACATCTTTTAATTAAACACTTTAACCAAAAATAGTTTACCGATCAAGACACGTTGGAGAGCCAAGCAAAGGTATAATTGTCGTTTTAAGTAATTAATCATTTGCTAGTGTTTTGTATTATTTGTTTCTTTTACATACCACCCAAGAGATCCAAGTGCACTCCCATGGCAAACCCACGTGGAAAGTAATGAGGTAACTATGTATTTCCACCGCATTTTTCCTCTCATGGTCGGGTATAGACCAAACTAGTAACAAGCTGAGTCACCCTAGTTGACCACCCATGGAGAGTTTCTCCAATGACATGCACGTAGCAAAGGAAGTGATGGTTGAGTTACATTTAGTTTCTTTGCTTGACAAACATAAAGCATTTGATCACTAAATAAAACATAAACTGATTACCAAAATAGCTAGTGATAAAAAAATATGCTGCTTCCCACAAGGATCGAAACCTTGACCACCAGCTGAGAGGGCAAGGCGAGATTCCACTAGACTACAGAGACTTTTCTACAAATCACTAATCAAACTCTGGGATAGAAAGCAATTAGGGTTTCGGGAATGTTTGGTTATAGTTTGGAACACCAGAAGGAAATTGAGCTTAAAGAAAACGAGATATTGATCGAAAGCCCCTTCACTGAGGAAGGACAATTGTTATGAACTTCAATTCAGGTTTAACTTATGATTACAGTTTATTTTTTTTTATGGACAATTGTTAGGCGTCATGTTTGGCTATTTATTTTTGTTAAGGCAATTTCCCTAGCAATGGACTATATGTTTTTATGCATTGAGCTTATGTATCTGGCCACTTATGAAAAGAAAAGTTTGTACTCATAGCTTACTCAAGGGATCTGACGATTTTAGGAAAACATTAATACATTTGTCGAATTTACAATTATGTTATTACCAATATTATATATACAATGACAGTTTAACATTTTTTAAAGACTAAATTTTAAATGCTATATTTTAGCTGGAAAAATGGGCTTATTCCCTATGTGGCTCATGAATTAATCGGGCCCAGAGTTTTGGCAAAACCCATGGCAAATGACTACACCCAGGCAGGCTGATACATTCCAAATTCACCTATCTAAATTGGGCCTGTGGGGGTTTTTTTATTTTGTTTGGGCGGCTTCCTAAATGCATTGGCAGCGAGTTCCAACTCTAAACTCTAGAGTACAACAATTTAAAAGGAATTAACAAATAGCAAGGAAGGCGACAGTAAACAAAGAGCAAAATTATATGATGCTCAAAATATGGTTACATGAAGGACCACCTCAAAAGGATAATAACCTTTCAAAAAATATTTGCGTTCACATATCCATTACGCGGTTAGACAATTCGAAATTAGAGCGAGGTGGACCATTACTAACATTAATCCGATTATACTAATAATACCCTACGCTACTTAGTCTAAAATCGGGAACAACTTAACCAAGAAGAGATCAAGACGATTCTCCACGTTGTTCCAAGGTCCGAATGTGACCAAGACCCTATATGGCGACTCACCAATCCTGTTGAGTAGTGCATTGTACTCCACATCTTCCATCTCATCAGGACCAACAACAGCAGACATGACTCGCCGTAAGTAAGCTGATGGACATACGACCTCAAGATCGGTGATAAAATCTTCAATTGTCAAGTGAAGCAAGTATATGCCGGAGTCGGCATTCCAAGATCTCCTCAATTCTTTGACCCAGCCATTCAAAATGTATGACTTGCCCTGGTACAAGCCAAAACATAAGGAGTTCAAAATAAGACCAAATTAGATGCAAATTCTTTAGATAAAATATAGATTCCGGATAGATAAAATACATGTTATCTGATTCACCTGATTAGCAACATCCAATTGCATAGGGATAAGATCTATCGTTTCTACATGGTCCCAAATTCTTACGGCAACTTCATATCGCAGATTTGAAACGAAGTCTCCCATGGAAAAGAATCTATAATTTAGATTAGTAGCAATATTAGCAACTCTATCAACAAATGTTAGAGCTGTAAAACTAATCAACTAATTATGTAAACCCGAATATACACAAACAATAGCAACCCAATACATGAATGTGTCAATACAAACATACAACTCTATCAACAAATGTTAGAGCTGTAAAACTAATCAACTAATTATGTAAACCCGAATATGCACAAACAATAGCAACCCAATACATGAATGTGTCAATACAAGCATACAAAGTTTCCTTGGAGTATCGAACTAAAAAAAAAAAAATATTCTGGATGATAAGATTGTATTAGATCTGGAGAAACCTAATTTGAAGGCCAGCAAGCGAATGTAATTGATGAGTGGTCTGGAAAAATTGGTTGAAGTTCTTGATGAGAGGAAAGGGGAGATTTTGCCGAGGTAGGGTTTTAGAAATTACCTTTTAGAGATGCTGAGATAGGGCTAACGTCGATCAGGCAGAGAGAAGGCCTGGAAAATGAGTGCATGCACTGGAATGGGTTTCCAGTTGCTTTGTTGGCCGGAGAGTGAGCAGAGCAGAAGAAGGCGTCAGGGAGGAAGGGAGTTGAAACGTCTTTACGCGGTAAGACTTTAGAACTTACCTCCTGGAGATGTAGAGATGGTACTAATATAGGTCAGTCAGGGAGGGCTGGAACATGAGTGCATGCAATGGCTTGGTTGGACTGTTGGTCTTCTCGCCGGCGAGTGAATAGTGACGTCGTGACTCGGTGCCGTTGTTGGAGTCCGCGCGAGTGGTGATTCGACGGTAGGGTTGTTCGACGAGGGAGAATGAGCGAGCGTAGTGGGAGGGTCGGGGTTTGCGGAGGGAGCGGGAAGCAGGAGAAGCAGAAGATGGCGGGTTGGGGATGTGGATGGTCAGGTTTCTGTGGAGGGACTGGAGGGTAGGTGAGAGCGATGGAGGAGGGAAAGGAAGAAGGGAGTTAAACCGTCTTCGGGTGGGTGGGAGGTTTTTATTGTTTTTTTTTTTTTTTTGGTTTTTGTATTTGTTTGATCCAACCGTCGCTATGGCTAGTTTACCCGCCCAACGGGCCGGGCCTGCGCTAGTACAAATAATGCGAAAAGGCGTTGTGCCGCCGATCTGCTATTGCTAAGGGCCTTAATGGGCCTGGTACAAAAGGCATGTTCGAATTCACACGAGGCCTTTTTAATGGCCAAAAAATACGAGGCCTTTTTAATCAATCGATCAGGTTATTTAGACAACAAATAATCCGAATCGATAGTGAACTAATAATTAGGATCTCAAAACAACCTATGGTACTTTAGCTGTCTAGCGAATTTCACTGATCATCTAGAATGACAAAGAACAATTGTTCCACGTGATAGGATCATCTCCGACAAAAATCGCATAAGATCTTCCTTGATCTATCATAACCTCATCGTGACTTGGCCATAGGTATCGATGTCATGAAAGTGCCTGATATAAATATATTTATAAGGAACAAGACATTCTACCTCAACCGACAAACTTCTATCAATGTAAAACTTCTATCAATGTCAAGTCTCACTTTTCAACTATAATGTTATATACTATGTTACATGCGTCTTAGTATATGAAATCGTTTACGCTACAAATTTTTTTAAAGCAACACTGCATCCTGCATCTCTTTTATAATAACAACCAATCCATTTTACACGCATCAGTGTCAAGGCAGAATATTGAACCATTCGGAACATGGAGCTTTCACGTTTATAAGTTTGTCAAGGCAGAATTTCAAACTTAGTCACTAGACTGCACTACAAATGCCCTTTCACGTGGTTTAGCAAAGGTTTGTTTTGGGATGTACTAGTCCTTTGTACTAGTTTTGGGTTAACGCAAAGTTGCAAGGTGGAGGTGGGCACAACGGTGGTGTGTGACAAAAATGACATGTTGTGTAGAATTACTATTTATGAATAGTTGTAAAATAAAATTCTAAATAGAAAAATGAAATTTTTTCCAAAAACTTGACTAGCAAGGAGAGGGTAATCAACTATGAACAAGTGATTTCAAATGAAATTATAAAAAAACTAAATATAATGGTTGAAACTAGTATTCGAACCCTACACCTATTCTAGCAAACTTAATAGTAAACTACTAGCTTAACCACTAAGTTTGCCAACGTTTCTTGTTTGTATGCTAAGTTTATGGAAACTAGCCCACATTCCATCTCGTGAGTGGTTGAGAAACGATCAGAAGCTTCACTTCGATCGTCTTCTTCCTCGGCGTAATTCAAATTTCAGTTCTTTTTCTTTTCAAATTCAAACTTCAGTTTTCTGCTCCACATAAATCCACAAAATTTCCATAATAGCATACCGATACAACATGGTCCTATTATTGATTTTGAGGGTATGGCATATCTAGTTTTAACACAAATATGTGCGATAAACAAAATTCGCAGAACTTGACCCAGGAAGGTTTGACATCATCAATGATAGAACATTGAGGCGCCGCCGTTGATCTGTTAGTGACGGAACTTGGAAGCGAGGCTAATGGCGTCGGAGTCATCAAAGAGCATTTGTATCGTCGTGGGAGGACTCTCCGGTGGGGAGGTCACCCCTTTTTCTTTCGACGAAGGTCTCTGCAAC